TCTAGTTTTCAAGGAAAAAAACGAGGCATATTCAAAATCATTTAAATTGAATACTTTATGGAAGATGCTAAATCTACTTCTGGAATGAATTGAATCTCATTTTTTTTTTATAATTCAAGAGGAATGTGGTGTTAAATAGTAGTATATGATATATAATTTATATTTTGTAAAAGTAAAGTTTAGTCCTAATGCTCTAAACACTGCAAATAAATATTCAAACATAAAAAAATCTACATTCAATATCAGATAAAATCTTTGCATCTCAAAACAAAAAAATATAATTTACAATAAAGCTGGTATAGATTACTCGTTATATAATGACTCAAATAATCTTTATGACATTCAAACTAAGTTTTCAACACAGCTGTGCCAGGAGTTCTATGTCATATTCATGCCTTGAACATGAAAAGTTTCAAGTTGTCTTTAAGGAATGGTAAACACTTTCAAATGAAAGCGAAACTTCATTTATAAAAGGATAATTTTTGATATTGGTCCTCGGGGAAAATATTATCTAAATACGGTTTGTAATAGAGGTACAATCCTTGGAATGTTTAATAGATAAAGAATTAAAAAAATGAAAATATGAAAGAAAAGATAGTTTCTAGGTAAGTGCAAATAACAATGCTAAACAAAGACGATCGAGTAATGACTCGAAATAATTCATTTTAAAATTAAACGCATAAAAAATAGTTGCAAAACCGAGTTGTATTCTTGAGTATTTCTTACTACTTATTAAACGTAGATGGACGAGACATTGGCATAATTTTAATTTTGAGAGTAAATGTAGTAACGAAGCATTAACAGAAACGAGCTCAACCGTTTGTTGACTCTCTGTGTAGCACAATCACATTAATAGTGCATAGTAAAATAAAACAGTAAGTTTAGTTGATCTAACGGTTTGAACACAGGCATACATGTGATGATCAAACTCTTTTCGCTGACCGTGAAATTAACATACTCTGTATAGTCGAGTATGAAGTGCTCAAAAACTACGGTAATTTCGCGTGTGAATTCGYCGTCTCTTTGGTGAAAGTTCTCTTTATTTGAGTACTTACGAGGATATAGGGTTAAGAAAGTATTAAATAAATACGACAGGCAATAGTTGGGGGATTGTTTAGCGTGTCTATTCGGCCTGAAGCAGACACAAAGCAAGTTCAACATGCACAGGTGTGAGATTGATCTATTCTCACAGTGAGCGTGGATTTCATTCGTGGACATTTTTCCAGAATTGTAATTCAGGTATTCCAGAAGTCCTAATGGATCCATTTATTTCGAGCCTCAGATATATCGTGACCCGGGTAGTGCGGTGCACTCCCGCACAATTGTAAAAGATTTGAAATATTTTGATAGGGGGCAACACAGCCGAAGAAACACTTTAAAGTCTGAATAATCGTTTGAAATATAGTTCAGATTTAATACAATATACAGATTATCTGCCGAAGTCAGTTTAATGATRCTCGCACAAGACAGCGAGGACTTGTAAATAAACTCTCTCTTGAAAACATAATTTTATTCCAGTCCCGTTTGTTATTTTCATTCTGCTAACTTATAAATTTTGACAACTTAACCGGAGCTTTTGCCACTTAAAGCTTGGTAGCTTATCTGTTTAGCAACTGAAACAACTTCTCGTACGGGTCGTAGTTRATAATTTCGAACCGATATCCGTCAATCAACGTTTAAACTTTTCCCTCTTTTCTAATGAATGACTTGAGTGCTGAGGCTACGTTATAAAAKGAAAAGCTTGAAATTTTGAATGAATTAGAATCGTGCAGTCAAATAAATCCAGAAAGAGTTAAAGTTAGGCATCAGATACAAGATAAGATGGACTTTGCTAAGCGCTACTTTGGACAGAACACACGTGTCGGGAGAAAAAATTACTATCCGCTAGATAACGCTTACCTTCTGGTCGAGAAATGAGCATGCAAGTTCCTTCAAAGCTGTCAAGTCTTTCCCTTCAAAACCATAACTTTCTCGAGCTAAACCACACTGAAAAGTGATTCCCCTCCGAGGGTTATCCTCAGTCATTTCGGCTGTCAGTAATCATTCAAGATTGTTCGTAAAATCGCTGAGAAATTTACCAAAGAAGATAAGTTTCGATCAACTCTCGCGACCGCATCTGACGGGAAATGTTCTCCAACAACATGGGCGACGCTGTCACGTGACTCGACTGTATATTGACTGGCACTTAGAAAGACGTGTTTCCGGTCTAAAAAGCGGAAGTTAATCGAGTTAAAGCAAGTTTTCTGATTTTAGATTTTCAATTTATTTTGCGTTTATAGCTGTAATAGTGGRAACGTTYAGCAAAAAACTCGACCGTACAATACTTATGTATAAYAGACCGCTTTAAACCTCTTTGTTTGATAGCCCGTTTCCACAGAAACACGTCATAACCATAGCAAAACAGACACCCACGTGCATTGTGCAGGCTCGTTTTAGCGTTTATATAAGATGAATTTCCAGAAGTTCCGATTGTTGAAGCCCCAGTGTTACAAGCTGGAAAAAGAATTAGTTCCATAACTACAAGCGACAAATTTCACATGTCTCTCGAGTCTGTGTCAAAGAAGATCAATAAAAGGGCTTTCATTMCCAAATCCGACACTCAGTATGCAGTATTGCTTATTCAAAAGCGTAGGAGAATTTAAGATGGTTTATTTTGAATATTGAAACGGGCAGCCGTTGCATAGACTGCATACCAAAARGGCTTTTCCGATGATATAAGCATCAGATAAAACTATCTTTTCAACATGACAACTTGTACAACTTGAATCGTTTTTACAATAAGCGAAACAAACTAAAATGACAAAGTCAGAGTTGAATACTAGATTCAATGAAAAAGCCACAGAAATAGACTTAAAAAGTAAAACGAAACTTAAAAAATATGCGAAAACAAAAGAAAGGAAACAGCAWATAGAGGAATACCAAAAATAAACTACAAACAATAACCAACACAGGAAACTAAKAAACTGAAAAAGACGAATTCAATTAAATGTATGCAAAGAAGTAGCTCCCTGCCAGGTCGCGAATAATTAGGGTGGCAAATCCCCATAAGTGTTTATTAAAACCAGTGCTTAGTGTGGGCTTAYAAACGATAGAGAAATTTCATAGACAGCCCATCCGGTAGTAGAAATACATGAGTCATCCAGGTTGCCTTTCGACGGGCGTAAGGATCTTCCTCTCACCTCCCCTCGCCCCCTGTCAATGATACATATATAAGAGAACTTCAGATTTGACAACGAGTGGAGAGATTGAGTACGTACGAGTACGAGTTTTAAAATCGACCTTAAGTGTGCTATTAATCGTGTATTGCATTCTCCTGTGAATAGAATGAAACATCAAAGAAATAAAACTAACACGAAGTGGCTAAAATCCAGCCGTATAGACAACACAATAAAAGCTGGTTTGAAAACTCGTACTTGTTCAAACCAAGACAACGAGTTGGAACTGTTTGTTGTGGATTGTTAGGTTTGAAATAATGCAAATGMATGGAAGATGTTGCTTTGCAAGTAGGCTTAAAATATAGCTTGCCTTTCGTGCATGAACTAATGGTTGGACTGCCTGAGGRGTGAGTGGTAAAATGARGCGGCAGTCGATCCAAKTTTTCATTGTTTCGACCTACGCTTTTGAACCAATCAGAGCACGTGCATCTAAGAAGAAATGACCATAGAAGGTCGAGGGGACAGAAGAGGACCATATATATACACCTATTTTCAAGGAGACTGTCAATGAAGACTAAGGACATGAACTCATCATCAGTCATCATCATTTATAAAAGCAATTAAAGTTAAGTTTGTTTTAGGATTCTTTAGTTGTTTTTAATGCATTCTTTCCTTACAAAACTACGTAAATGTTCTGATTCATGATGTACAACGTTTGGCAAGCAGATCGCATATGTACAGGTATCAGTCAATACTGCAAATGCGAAAATTATGACTAATGYTTACAGGTCTAAYTGTAGCTCTAAAAAAWKSYTTTYMWTTTTTTTTTACAAAACAACAGCTGAGTGGCTTCCTTTATCGATATCATGCATTATTTATTCTTTTAACTTTTTTTAAGTTTTTCTATCTTAATCTCTATGACGTCTCAATGTCAATCACATATAAGCGCTCTAGATCATTAAATTATATAATAAAGAGAATGCTATATTTTTTTCTGAAACTTTAGTAATTACTTTATACACTGAACTCATATACTGATAGATTGGACCAGTAAATTGCTGTATATTTTAGCAAACTGAAACGAATATTTATTAAACAAGCACGACGTTTTCATTTGGCTTACTTTGTAAAGGTATAATGTTGATAATTCGTCTTCATAAAGTGAAGTGTAAGAGCAAGACACTGAAATTTTCGCTTGAATGCAGGGAACGCCAACTACGTAAAACGAAATTGCTTTGCGTCAATTGCTTGTCAATACGCACTTGAAGTGTTTATTGTGTATCGCCATTAAGCAAACATTTCGACAGCCCTATCTTCTATAGCCAAGTAATTAGAACTTCCGGTACTTAAAATATTGATAGACTTCAAACCATTCAATAAGGGACTTTCAAGGGGACAGACAATTTGATTTTTGGTGTCAGAAGTAGGGGTGGGTGGACTGTGTGATTTTGTTACGTGCAGGAAATGCATTTTAAATGGGAAATATCTATCAGCACTGAATTTCTTTATAATTCAAGGGAGGGGAGAGCAATGCATTTTAGTGGATTTTGTTTTACTTTATACTTAGAATACTAGAATACGCGGATGATCATGCCTCGTGAGTGTCTTTGTCTTTGTAGACTATTTCAGATGTTCACATTGTCATAGATATGTATCGGCTCTTCATTGTGCTGTATTTTCGAGGCTTCCCTTGAAAAAATTGAAGTCAAATAAGCGAAACGCATAGTTAAGTAATGCCACTACCTTTTAAAACTCGTAAATATAAAGGCAAAATACTTCCATTTTATGCTTATAGTTAAAAAAGCTGGGATGTCGGATAAATTGGAAAATGGCAATTATCAAACTGAGATTGTACGTTTATTACCTCATAATAAGTGGTTGTTTCAATGATGCATTTTCATGGGAACTATCACAACAAAATGCCTACTGCTCGATTGTTTTTATAACTCGACTCTGAAGCGCGGTGGGCTCTATGAACTGATAAGAGCCTTTCGCGGCGGGCATTATCGCGTCACGTGGTCGACTTCCGACCAATGAGAGCGTAGGAAAAGTTCTTGTTGAATTATTAATAATGCCGACTAGATTCGACCTTGCGTACTCCGTTTATATTTTAGCAAACTGAAATGAATAGCATTTTAAACAAACGTGTTTTTATTTGACTTACTGTGACTTCAGTCATGTTAATGTTAGAATTCGTCTTATAGTGAAGTGTAACGAGCTAAAAGACAAGTTTTAGTTTGAATGCAAGAAACTACGTAAAACAAAATTCCTTTGCGTCAATTGCCCACATTGATATTTTAGTTGACAAACCTCACACAAAATAATTGAAAATGAGGCTACGGGGAAACAATAGGCAATTCATTCGTATACCCGGAGACTTGTCTTTAATTCTTTTTTATTCGGTATTCAACCGAATATCGAAAATGTGCTATTGCTTATTTTAACACAAATGCGTGTTTATTGCGTATCACCATAGTAAACATTTCGACAGCCCTATCTATAGTCAAGT